AAAACATCCCAGGCAGGCATTGCTTGACAAGGAGCAGAATGGGAGTGATGCAGGTTTACAATGCCTTTAAAAAACAAATCCAAGGAGAAAAAGGCAAATGAGATGAGGAGATACAGCCTGCAAGCAAAAGACATTGTTTCTAAAGCCCAGAAGGAAAGCTGCGAGCCAAATTTTAGCTGCAGAGAATCTCCCTCATCTAGCCACACAGCTACAGTGTCATGGTATTTTGCTTGGTCAACTTTCTTAGGAGAAAAACTTAACAGTTTATAGCACAAAATCTTTATAGCATGTTTTAAAAGCAGTCAGTGGATTATTTTGTTACCCATCTGTTCAAAGATGGCTATGAGACTGTGGGCTGCTATCCAAAGTTCAAGCATCACCATCTTGAGTTCCCAAATTTTCCTGATGCATTGGTCAAAACCAGAGAACTATTAAAAAACAGCTTTTTCACAAGTTTAATGGTTGCTTCATTAATAGCAATGTTCTAGCCCAGAAATGGCTGCACCAGTGGCTGATGAAGTAGTTGCACATGCACAGCTTACGATCTCAAAGCACTTCTATATTTGTAAAAAGGTGCTAAAACAGAAAATAAATAAATAAATAGACATGTTTATGATTCTGCGAGGGGATAAGCCCTCTCTCTGGACTATGCACACATTAGCAACACTGAACTACCCGTTTCAGATGAAAGTGGCCCAACCCAGCCAGGATTTACCAAATTAGCTGGGCAAGTACGAGCTTTTTGAACCTCATGGAAATGCTTGAAGTACAAAGCTAAGAGTATCACAAACCTGTAATAACTCTGATGTGTGATCACAGTGGAGTTCCTTAGTTGGCACCCAGCTGCAAGAGCTGCCTGCACGCCTTGAGGAACTAGGTGGTAGACAGCAAATAAGCATATCCATCTGCTTTCCACATATTCTTAATAAGGTTTTATGGTCTCATTTGTTAGTCCAGCTATTTGGATTCAGAGACTTGCTCTCTGAGTCCGTCCCATTGGTTTTACTCCAAACAAGAACCAGTCACGATTGCTGCTCTCAGTTGCCTTCATGAGAAAAAATAAAATTGTTCCACTCTCAGACAGTGGTGCAGCAGTGAGGTTCCAAATAACATTTCTTATAATAGCAAATTTGAAAAAGTAGGAAAATACTAATAAAATTATTTCACCTTCCCAGCAGAACTAACTTCTGCCAACACAGTCTGTTCCTCCAAGAGTCCGCTAAACAACAGTGTTAGTTCAAATTCAAGTTTAAATGCAGGAAACTTAGAACAGGACATGTTCTCTAATCTTCCTGTCTTTGTAACAACAGCTTCCTCGCTTCACACAGCCCAAAAATACTAGGAGCCAGAAATGCTGCACCGCTCACTTACATCCAGGAACAAACTCAATGAACAATCGTGGCACAAGGCAGGATAGACACCACACAGCTACCCACCTCAAGCAGAGTAGTTGCCTGCACTTTCAGCTATTGGGAGAGAAAGTTAACTCTTTACAGTTTAAATATAAATTTAAGCAACACCTACACATTTATTTAGAAAAGCATCAGGCTGTTTGTGAAATTTGTCAGTTCATCTTCCACTGCACAGTAATATCTGAATCGGTCTCACCCCCATAGATTTGTCAAGCACAGATTATTTGGTCTTCCACTTGCACCATGAGTCTGACTGTGTCTTGTACACACCAGTGTAACGTACAAGGCAGTATCACCCAGTCCCAGGCTCAGTTCAGGTTTTCCAGCTCCAGTGCCACCTGAATTATTAGCTATCACAGCAGTAGGTATGAAGGCACGTCTTGAAAAGGTTTCAAAAGCCCATTTGCGTGAACTGTCTGGAATCTATGAACTGGGCACTTGAATCTTTGACTCTAGCCAAGGATTTTCTTAAGTAGTTGCACACGGAAGTTCACAGTACAGATGTTACAGCAAATGCTAAGGCTGTAACACTTCCCTGGCCAGCAGGAAGCCGTGCCTTACTGAGGAACTAGAGGCTTTGCACACCCAGATGCCACCAGTTACTGATTCCTTAGAAAGGCCTGGAGATCCATAGCTGCATCTGGAGCTACAGCATAGACACACAGGTCCTCAAAATCATTTTGGGGTCTTTTTCCACAACATTTAATCAGAAGCAGACAAAGCAGAGTAGTCGGGCACTGCCCCACCCCTACTCTATGTATATCTGCGGATCTGGATGCTTAAGGTCAGTAGTTGGTGGAAGGGAAGGATGAAGGAGCAACTCAGTGAGTGCTGTGTGAAAAGAACAGACTCAGGCCTCACTGTGGAGTTTCCTCTTACAACCCTGTTTCCTCTGTGCAAAACCTATTTCCTTAAATACAAACTAAAAAATTGAGTACAAGGAGGTGCAGGAAGTCCTTATGCAGGCAGATACTGCCTACATAAAATAAGTGGTTTTGTAAACAAATAAGAACATCCGTTGGCCAAGATATGTATTAAGATTATCCCCGTTTGTGACTAGGATGCCTGCTATCAGAACCAGAGAACAGTTACTATTCCCCGCCTTATAACTTGACATAGTGCATGCCTTCTTCTATAGAGCTCCTTGCCCAGATTGCTGTTATAAAAAACATTGCTAATTTTCAAAAAACCATGATTGGTTTCTCATAGTACAACCCATGTGGCACTAGAAGGTAACTCCTGTGAGCCTCTGTACTTTAGGGAACAGCATTCACTAAGGGAGGAGCAAGAGCCTGGACTAACTCAGCTGCAGCTCACAGCTCTAGCACTGGATCAAGACCGTTTGTCAGAATAGCTGCTATGAGTTAGGCGGGAAACTGTTAGTCATCATTGCACAGCACATAAGCTCTTATCTTAGAGAGATGGGACAGATAAAAGCTTCTAGATTGTGAATGCATTAACAAAGGCCTTTTTCTGCTGTAGAAGGATCTGCGTGGCAGGACTCCAAATTCAGGCAGAGACATACTGATGGGCCCCCATGCTAGCAGAGCTCTTGGCGAGATCAGAACCTCCCAGAAAAAGCAAAAGGAAAGGAAAAAAACCCTGCCTCCCTCTCCAGAGCTGTTTGTTGCTTTTCTAACTCAATGTCAAAGCTAAGATTCAACAGGGTTTTTAACCCTAGGTGCAAACAAGGAGAAGGGCAGCAAGACAGTCACCTCTGGACAGACTTCTCCTTCCCTCAGATCTCATGACAGACTTATTTTCAGGCTGCCAATCACTGGTGTAGGTGGGATAAGTATACAGGACTGCAGACCTGTAGATTTCATTTGAGGTAAGAATGCACCAGGTTGGGAAGACTGCACCCCTGGCAGGCCCTAAGCAGCACAGAAGCCCTAAGATACCATAGCAACAATGCAGGTAAAAATGGTAACGAAAACAAGAGCAGAACTGAGATCTGTTACGTTAGGATTACTTACCAGGTGTGCACTAGCCATCAGTTATTGCAACAGAACAAATAAGGCATAAAATATTTTGGCCATCTCATTGGCCTTCATGTTGTGCTTTTCTTTGTTTTCCAGAAAGCATTGGGTGAAGATTTAAGGCTCAATCATATTTCAGAAAAAGAACTGCTAAATCAGTTGATTTTGTTTATATCCTGCACATTTCACATTCTATGTGTGTATATATACAGAGAGAAGACAAAACCTCAGGGACTAGCACAAGTCATAAGTTCATCCCACCGGAATGTAGAGAACTATAGTGGGTTCAATCTTATTCAGCATTTAGGGCATCTGAGCTATTGTTCTACCACCAAATCATCTGCTTAAAGCAAATAGAAGTGACATAGTAGGGTTTAATATTGTCAAGTCAGTCATTTGTACTAAGGCAGCTGCTGTTACAGTTGTGTCTTCTGGTTTTGTTTTTCTGACTGCTTACTCCACTGCTTGAAATAGGAGTTCTCCAAAAGAAGTTTAGTCTCCATTAATGGATTGGTTGGCTAAGTCCCATCCCAACAGCAAAACTAACATCAACAAATGAGTATAAAAATATAGCAGTTAGAAAGAATACTTTCCAACCAACACACAGGCAGAAAAGGAATATAGTTCTCTGACCATCAATGCATTTAAAATATTATAAAATTAGTAATGGAAACAGAACTGAAGATCCTGGGAGACCTTTAGATATAAGTTGAAACAGCAGAGTAGAAAAGTAAAGGAGCACTCCACTTTTAAATTCAACAGCAACTGGCAGTGCTCCTGTAATTAGCAATTTCTCAACAGCAAACATTCTGAATAAAGAATGTACTGTATCTTAAATCCCCATGCAGTACACACAACTTGCAGTTTAAGTCAGCTAGCAAAGCAAAGTTGGACAAAATTCAGAGTTTAAGAATTTGTGTGTACAACTCCCTTTCTGTTAACAACTGCACCAAATCTGAACTGCATAAAATACTGAGGTGCCTTTTAAAGTTATAATAGAATAAATACTCTATTATCATTGGTACATTTCTTTCTCAATCTAGGTATACAATAACTTAATATATTTAATATTTAGATAAACAATTTTTAGTAGATGCTTTGGCAGTCAAATTCTTACATATTCTCTATTGCTACAGAAGTATTCAGTTATGTTTTTGGAGAAAATTATCTGGATACTACTTAGAAGAATTATATGCTGGACAAAATAGCAGCCCAAATCATCACTGCAAACAGTTAATAAAAGAGTATAAAAAGGAATGTGTATTTGCTAGAAGATATCCAGCATTCACAGGAAGGAAGAAGATATATCTGCACCATGATTTTTTTCTTTTCTTGCCAATGAAGCCGGAGAAAGATTGTCTATTATTTGAAAAGCATTTCACTTATTCCAGTTTATGCAACAACTGTGTTTCCTACACTCCACATGTCAGCATTACAAAGTTTCGGAACACATTTGTTCCCTTGGGCAATGCTTGTTTCTGACAATTAAAAAAGGTAAAAAAGTCTTCAATCATTTGTTTAGTCTAAGAAGTTACTAACTGGTACTTTATGGTATGTGGACAATAGGCGTTTCCTTATTACAAAACGGCTGCTGTATTTTATTTGTACTTTATCTGTTAACAGGGGAAAAAAAAAAAGAAAAGAGAAAACACAGAAGGACCTTCTGAGTGTTCACACTGAGAACTCTCTGGTTGGGCAACAGAGCGGAGCAATAAGAGTCCATAAGTACAGACAGACACAAACCCAACAGGAGACCATCTTAATCCAGAAGATGGACCAGGTTCCGGTGAAGAATTTTTCAATCTGAGCACTTTCATAACTGTTAAGGGAAAAAAAAAAAAAAAGAACCAATAAACTGACTATTCATATCTCAGACTGCAGTATCCCGTTTTTCCAAGTGGGTCACAGACTTTAACTAGGTTAACACAGACAAGAAGCAGGGGAGATCAGCCTTTTATAGAGCAAGATCTTGCTCAAGAATCACTTGGGAAAGACTTGCAACTTCTCTTCCAGCTTCTTACTTAAGGAGAGGAGACACACTAGTGGCAGAAGTTCCCATTCGCATCTGCCCTCTCAACATAGAGAGATATTAATTTCTCAGCTTTACAGAAATACACTTACTGGAACCAGTGAGTCACTGTCATCATCACATAGAGCGAAGCCAAGAAGAAAACAAAGTGGAAGTAGGCATAACTGTACACCGTGCCTTTCTTCTCATCATAAATCACAGTCTGGCCTCCTCTTTTTTCAATGCGCTCTTCAGCATCAGCTGGAGGAGACAGGAAACAAGAAAGCTTGTGCAAATTTAATGAGAACTGAAAACAGCAGCTGGCTTCATGAAGAACACAGCAAAATATACATGGTGTGATTTAGGAAAGAGTGATACAGAGCAACACTTGAACATTTCCTTACTCTCAGGGCATGGGTCTAAGCCTTAGTGCCACAGAAATCCTGCCTTGTATCAGCTTCCTGGCCTGCTGGCTAGTTTTTGAGCATTTGGACCATTTAAATTGCTCTAGCTGTACAGTATTCTTCTGGCGAGTCCAAGCCGATCACCCTGATCATACCAGGTCTGCAAACAGGACAATCCCTTCCTAACTTACTCTTGAACTGCAGTCCTTCAGAGCTGCTTAGCCAAAAATACAGCGGTCAGTCACACCCACAAGCATGCAAAGAGCAGAGATTACACTTTGTATGCTGCAATAATGAAATGTCCTTCAAGGAATTCTTAACTAGCCTGTTGTTTTAAAATGGTATTGTTACATCTCTTGCTTCCTTCCTCAGCATAACTTTGAGCACTTTAGCTGCTTCAGTTTGATATGCTACAGAATGAGGCTACAAGCAGCTCTCCATCTGCAGCTGTGTCCTTACTCTCTTGGCTTTGGTCTGAAAGCCACAAGCAAGGTAAATTGTGCAGTGATAACATAATTACCATCTCCATCAGGCACGCAGCAAAAGCAGCAACGAGCTACCTGTGGAACAGACAACAGGAAGAGTAAGAGTCTGTGCTACAGCAAAGAAGCAGAACAGTTGGTAAACGAAGGTCTATTATGTCTACGTTACAGCCACTAGTTTAGAAAAGTCTGGTTTGTATTTCCAACCAGCACAAAACCCAAATTAGGATTTGCCAAGTAGTTCATAACAGAAGTTTCTAAGCTTTGGAAAAACCTACTAAGTAAGATTTGGAGCAAATGAACCATTCTTTAAGAATTACTCTACACATTTAACATAACTCAAGGTCAAACACTGGTGCAAATAATTATGAGAAAATAGTAGAAGCAGTTGCACATCAGTAGTTCAGAGGTGACTTACTTCTTCAGACTTGCATCTAAATGCTTTTTAAATAAAAAATTTCTCTACTGATATGAAAGTGTAAGGAACTTTTAAAACTCTGCTGCATGGGTTGGAAATTACAACTGCACAAGCTTAAGTCAGAAATGCACTTATCTTTGCAAGATTTTGCTGAAATGGAGCCAGAATGAGTACAAGCAGAATGAGTAAAAGCAGAAAGTTGGTTTTACTGCTTTATTTAAAAGAAGATTTTTTTTTTTTTTTAACTGATGGAAAAAGGAAAGCTGAAATTGACACATCTTGTGTTAAGTGGTAATGTAAACGGGGAAAAGAGTGCTGACCATCCAATAATATGTAAGTAAGTGCATTTTCTGCACCACACCACAGTACAAGTCAGCACTTTCCGTACTGCATGACCAACATTATTTGTTCTGATAAAATCCTTCTCTGGGATTTATTTTGTTTGCGGTCTGATGAAGACAATGAACCCTGTTAGGAAAATTCCCTTCCCTAATTACTATATTAATCAGTCTTTATAGTATGAAAGTATATTAACTTGGTTAATGTAGTTCATAGTACACACTGCAATGTAAAGAGGTAGTGGAGTTTTACTGGAAACTTTGGTATTATTCACGTGTAAGTAAAACAAACTAAAGAACAGCTCAGCCCTGGAAATAAGGACTTTGCTTCTTGGAAGCTTAGAGCTGTCCATGAAGGATAAAAGATAGCCTTCGACAACCAAGATAATGCCAGCATTCTAGTCCCTCTAACAAATCTTTGAAACCCTTCCAGCATCATAGATAAGTATCACAAGACTGACTCCAGGGACATCTGGATCAACAGACAAGCAGCCAGAATGCTGCAGAAATATAGTTACTTTGCAGAGTTTTACTATGACTAGTAATCGGTGGTGTGGGTGTTGGTGATTAGTCAAATCATGCTATACCTGAATGCCTGAAGGGTGTAAGGACCTTGTGTAAAACCACATTTGAGGTGTCCCAATTTGGCTGGGACACCTCATGTGCATGAACATATATTTACCTTTGTAATTCTATATTTTGTGTTCTAGCCTCTCTCCTTGGTCAGCATGGGCCAGTTGCAAGTTTTCCTAACACCCTCAAAAATTAGATACTAAGCCTTTAAGGTAAAGTGTCCAATGGAAACATCACATGGCAGCTTTCACCCTGTGTATCACACACAGAGTGATGAAATTAGCAACACTGGCACACGTACCGCTAGCCCCTCGTAACAGTCAGCTGCCTTCAGCACAGACGCCAACAGACCCTCTGTGCGCCACAAGCAACTGCAGAGCTACTTTCGTGCTCCAGGCTGGGAGACAAAGGCCCTTTGGCACAGGGAAGGCAATCAGAGTGCAATTAGATGCTCTTCATCAGCCATTTCTTTATATTTACATTCAGAGGCTCTTGTACCACTCTTTAAAATCAAACAGTCCGGAAATAATCCTGTCAGCAAGCACTGCGGCAGGGCGAGCTGGCCCTTCATGGTGAGGGGGTCACATCCAGCGTCTGCGCTGTGCCAGCCGCCCCCAGCCTGCCCGCTGCTCCTGCCGCAGGGCGCACCGCAGCCCCAAGCCCTTTGGACAAGACCTCCCACTGCCCAACGCTGGCAGAAGAGGCAGGTGGGCGTGAAGGGAGGCTGTTTTCTCTCTGGTCCCTGCCCAGCCCCGGCCTGCCCTTCCTCAGCACAAGGTGGGAAGGCACTGGTTCTGCCCGGATCTGCCTGAGGCACAGGCTCGATGCTCCTCAGCGCTGGCACCAGCACCCTGTCCAGTCGCCCCATCCTGCCAGAGGGAAGCTCCTCCGGCACCGACACATTCCCACAGAGAAACACGTTTTGCTTCCCCATGCCCAACTACTGCAAACACCAGGCGCCTCAGCAGATACTTCTGCATTTTTGGATTCTCACAAACGCTCACATTAAAGCCTTGAAAAACAGAAGTTAAAACTGCAGATGCAAGGAACACCAACATAGAGCTAGGGTTGGACATTCATCCTCCAAACACACACATGCACTTGAACAGTGCCACTAGCAAGTCTAAGTACCGGGTAACTGTTACTCAGCAAAACCCTGCTAATTTCCTAGTGTTTCTGAGTGTTCTCATGCCAAAGAAATAGGCAGGTGGAATGAAGAAACCTGTACTGCTGAAACAGGGACAAGAAATACAATCCGAGATGAAATTGTAGGCAAAAAGAAAGGAAATACTTATATGTGGAAATAAAACTAAGAGATAGGAACTTGGGATCATAGTCAGTTGCCAGGAGAACAAAGGCAATCAGGACTGAAAACGTTCAAGAACACCTCCACTTCTTTTTCTGATAGCTTGCCAGCAGACTTTTCCTTTAAATGGGAGGACGCGAGCTTGTGTGGAGCACAAGATTTACAGGAAGTCTGCAGCATGTTAAATAAACTGCAAGAGCAGCAAATTATTTCAGTACGTAAATGCACCTCCACAGAACTAGCAAGAGTGGGAGAAGGGGCCAATGTGGACAACTGTTCTGATGAGTCCATACCCAGAGGCACGTAGCATGCACACTACGAACAGGCTTTTGTTTTCATCTAATTACAGACTACTTAGCCACAAAAACAACAGCAAGAAAAGCATGAGGAAGTCTGCACAAAAATCCTGTGGGAGGAAGCAAAAACTCACTTCAGTTTCAGGTGTTGCATATATTCCCCTCAGTGCCTCTGAGCTTGCACGTGTTGTTGAGGTCAAACTAGGAGCAAAAGAAGATACTGTCAAAACCCTCAGCATAAGTGTAAATCCAACAGGGTAATTTTTCAACACCACAGCAAACATAAATAGTCTACTTCCATGTCTAAGCTAAGCATTTGCCTGGACATAGCATCAGGCACTAAGCATGTGAAAAATTTGTTCTGCACAAGTAGAAGCCAGCCTGACAGCCAGCCATTGGCCAACATGGGCCGAATCAAGAGCTTAAAAGTAGGTCACTCCTGAAAGGCTGTGAATTCATCACCATCAGACAGCAGCAAATAGCTAAGCACTCCAATTTGCAATTCAGAAGAGATCTCCCCTGCTGTGCACAACCAATGCTTTTATATTAACTTCACAGCCATCACTTTGGCTCAGCATTTCTGCACCAGCTTTGCCAGCAAAGTAACAGGTCACTGGCACAGTCATTTTTCAAAAGTAAATTATCAACTACTATGTGTACCAGTTGCTGGAAATCACCTTCTTGCATGATTGTAGTAGTCTGGGGCAAATCCTTTCTAGTTTCTTCTAATTAGAAAAATTTCTTGCCCAGTCTTCCCTTTTCAGGATGTGTAATGCAAACTTCCCATTACCCACAGGGAGATGTGTGTTAATGCTTTGCTGTACGCACTAAGCCTTAATAAGCAACACTTCAAAACATTCCCCTTGAAGGCCTTCTTATCTCCTCAGCAACATGGCGCACTTCCCCTGACAGCTACGTGAAGGTTGTTTGCATTGCCAAAACACCTTCCTGAGGCACTGGAAATACTGTTCTCATGTGAACTAGATCCATGATATATGATATCCTGTGTATTTGATATCAGAATTAAATGGAACACATATGCATATTTGAAGGCAGAAGAGTAGCTGTGCTACCTCTTCAGAAAGTCTCTTGTTTTCACTTCAACATTATGAAGGAGTATGTGAATTTTGAAGTGGACTGATTCAGAAGCAGAACCTGCTCAAACCTTGCAGCAGACAGGCAGTGCAGTCTCCTGGCAACCCACACAGCCAAAACAACTGATAGATCACCTTTCAATCATCAGCAACTCCCCCCCTCCCCATGCCAGGACATGACTTAATTTATTGATGTGAGCTGCATTAATATAAGGCGAGCATCACAACTATATAGGCACAAAGAGATGATTTTTTTTTTTTTTTTTTTTCCTTCCTTAGAGCAGGAGATTTCTGGTAAATCCTGATGGTGGTTCTGTGCTTATCACTTGTTCAAAGGAAGCCCTAAATCCTCCCGAACAGTTCTGTTTGTTTTAAAGACCCTCGAGGAACTGTCGTAGCCTCTGCCAGGAGACTACAGAAATTTCAGATAGCCTTTTTAGATGGACATAACTGCATAGAGTTTTTCTTACAGAAAGAGTAGATACAGAATCAAAGTACCCTGAGACTGTTTGGCATCATGGACAGCTGGAAATATTTCCCTCCACCTCTAAATATAAATTGTTCCATTTGGTTTTAATTAAATATATTTGTTTCAAAAATTATATTAACTTGTTGAACATTTTTGACTAAAACATGTAACCGTTCTGAAACTGAGGAGAGTATGAACCTTCCAGCGCAGTTCTCTTCTACTTCTCCCCATTACTTTGTCTGCATGAGGCCTGCTATAAGCCTTCACTAGTTGGACTGCGATACTGCATTTACAGTGAGGTAACTGCAAACCCCCAGACTTACCAAGAATATAAAATGCAGCCAAACAAAATGGTAGTGCCCAAGCCAGTAACCAGGTTTTCATCTCTGTGCAGGCCTTGACTAAATTCAGGTACACAGATTGTGATGTTCTGATTGTTTTCATCCAGGACTTCACAAAGCAAAACAAACAAAAAGAACAGTTAGCAAAGCTCATTTCACTGCATTTCAAAGTAGTCTTCAGACTAAAGGTTTTCAGTGAAGTATTTTTATTACTTCAGACATGGTGTAGGTACATTTCAGTTGTTTCTACCTATCTTTTAAAAAGACCATACAGAAAAAAATTCTGTAAATTTGACTTGGCAGATTCTGTGTTTCAGGTAAAACAAAAATGCAACTTAGTAGGGTACTAAAATTTCTTGTTTGACCAGAGCAGACAAACAAGGAAAAAGACTGTTTGGTGAACCAAGAAATAAGAAGTTGGAAGTTTACCAACACTTCACCCAAGACTACAGAGTCATATAAGACCGAGATAATACAGATCATAGAATCATAGAATCATTTGGGCTGGAAGGGACCTTCAGAGGTCATCTAGTCCAACCCCCCCTGCGGTGAGCAGGGACATCTCCAAC